TGTGCAAGGATTAATTCATGTATCCAAATAATAGAGAGCATAAGTATAACAAAAACTGCGTGTTTAAGTTATAATATTGGTGTTTCTATATAAAGACACCAAAAACTGGGGTATTATATGCAAAAATAACACAATCCAGCAATTTTCGGATTATCCATGTCAATTTTCGTAATTAACAGGGATTTTCTCAGAATTTTCAGAGATTCTGGAGATATTCTGGTAATTTCCAGAACTCCAAAAAAATATTTTCGTAATATTCAGTAATGCCCGAGGGCTTCTGCGTAATTTTCAGAATTGTGTGAGTAATTTTCAGAACAGCCCGAGGATGTCTTCGTAATTTTTGAAATAACGAGGGCTTCTTTGTGATACTCAGAACTGCGCGAGGATGTGCTCTTGATTTCTGAAAAACTCGGGGACTTTTCTGTAAAATTGCGCTGGAGTATATGTTGGGCTGAAACCCTAATCTTCCTTCACTCCTTTCATTTGCTCCCACCACTAGCAGCCGCCACTTTCTCTTCTTCTACTTTCTTTCTTCTTTTCCACCACCTCTTCTCAGATCTGGCGATGGAAGGAAGGGCCGGCGGGTCATGGCAGCCCGGCTGCTCGCCGGACCGAGAGCGCGCGGCTGCACACCGGACCGAGGCGCGCTGCTCGCGGCTCGCCCCCGGCTGCACTCGCTCGCCTCGCGTGAAGGCGCAGCGCGCGTGGTGGCCGGAGCCCTGGGACGGTGCGGCGGCGCCGCTGCTCGCGCGTGGTGGCCGTGGCCCCGCGGCGCAGCATGGAGGCCGGGGTGCAGTGGCGTGCGCGCGCGCGGCTTGCTCCCCGCGGCGGCGACTGGGGGCCGGAGTCGTCCGGCGGCGCGGCGCGCCGTGGCTGGACGCGGCCCGGCGCGCATGGTGGTGCGGCGGCGCGCCCCTGGCGACCGTGGATCCGGCGGTCCGTGGGCCCAGAGCCGGACCGGAGCAGCACAGATCTGGGCCTGCACAGCTCGGTGGCCGAGGGCTTGGGCCGGGTTGAGCCGCGCGGCGTGGATTTCGGGCCGATGCGGCTTTTCTTTCTGTGTTGCATGGACCTAGGGTTAGGGTTTCAACCCGATACCCTTTTTGCATCTGTTTGCATGTAGATCTCGCCGGATTTGTTGATTTTGAACTGGGCGACGTGGTGCCTTGCTGTACCGGACTTCGTGCCGGGTAGGAGTAGATCGCTATTTTGCTTCTATTGGTATGGTAAATCATTATCTAGGGTTGTGTTTCGTCATGAACCACTGTAGATCAATCCGTTGACGAACGAGGGTTAGGTTTAGAAACCTTGTTCCCTGTGTTCTTTGCTTTTCTTCTTTTTCGGATCTTGATCTGTACAGGGTCAGGTTACGGGATATCCGCCCTGTAACAGATTAGTTTTCTTTGCGCAATCTGCACAAGGTCAGGTTTCGAGATACCCGCCTTGGTACAGATCTGGATGCGCGATCTGGATCTGCAACAGGATGTATCGTGCAGATCCGATCTTTGTTTGCGCGGTGATCCGACGCAATTTGCGCGGGGCACAATGGCCCATGCGCGATCTGCACGAGATGTATCGTGCAGATCTGAGTTGTTTTTCTCTTCGTGACGAATCTGCTGGTTAGCCCTACATATGCACAGATCTTGGCTGCAACGAGTCAAGATAAACAAGCATACGAAAAACAACAAAACCGTACAGTAGCTCACCGATCTTCTGGGCGAATTCCTCGTAGAGCATGCTGATAACGTGTTAAATTATCGGCAGAATGACGACACGTAGATCTAGACGAATTAACAAAAGTAAAACTGGAATAGAGAAGACGAAATTCTTTATTGCGAAATTCTGGTGTGGGGGTCTCCTCAACTATTTATAAGGGGGAACCCTAACTTCGTGTTGGGCTCAGATTCGATAAAGTTGCCCACATAGGCCAGGACTCCTTCTTCCAGAAGGGGGGCCTGGCCCAATAAGAGTTTTACAACAAAAACGAAAGTAGACATGATAATTTCTACGATCATTACATACAACTAAGAGAACTTAAGTTTTATAACATGATATTTGATAGAAAAATAATGCACAACTTCAACATGTATATATTCTATTATGCAGAACCTTGGGTACTACTCATACGATTTGTTCATCCAACAGACGACTCTCTCTTTACTTCACAAAAAAAAAAGAATGACTCTTTACCCGCTAGATATTTTTATTTGATCTGTTATATTCCAGTCCTAATATGAAGGTAAATAGATGGATACATGAATTCCTTTTCTCCAATTATCTGAGAATGGTAAAAGAATATTTTTTTAAATGATGGGTATATATCCGTGCATAACCAATATATTTAAAAATATATAATACAAAGCACTTAATTAATTGGGGATGTAGCTCAATTGGTAGAGCACTAATGGAAGGCTTCTTAGGGGTCCGGGGTTCAAATCCTCGCATCTCCAATTCATTTTTTTTTTTACCTCGGTGTACAGTTGTGGCGAAGATCCCACCATTTTGCTCAAGCTTTGCCAATGTCAGTCAGAGGGTAACCTTTGCCAGAAGCTCGTAAAGAACAGGCGGGCAACTGCTCGTCAGATGGCTGAATCCATCAGTCGCCATGGCTGCCTTCAAGTTACTACGTGACATGAGAAACTGGAAGCACGCTTTCTTGAGACCATGACACCCATGCTGCTCAGCCAATGCCAAAGTAGTCCCAACTGTTGTGACGTCGATATAGCCGCGAAGTTTCTCCTCGCAGATCAGCTTCATTCTCTCCATGCTGTACCTATCTGCTGCAACAAGTAAATGTTGCGACATGACTGTCACATCTTCCTCCTCGTCTATTTCAGGTAGCGAGTCAGTGTAGATGAAGTGTAGCAAGGCTTTGAACACTCTCGCTTCCATGTCTTCGATGCGAACGCTAGTTGTGCTTTTCTCCTTCATAGACCCAAAGAGCTCAGCCATGAACACCGGCGACCGAGCGGCAAGTATGTACCTATGCGCCGGGAATGTCTTCCCGGCAACCTCGAACGTGACATCAGCCCCTTCCCCACCATCGAGGAGATGCCCGAGGTGCCGACCCAAGTCCGGCGGCGGCACGACGATGGCGCCGGCGTCCCGGTCCTCGGTGCGGACCTCTTTCAAGACGGTGACGTCGCACCTGATCCTGAAACAGTCGTCGTCTCGGATGAGGTAATCCGACGCCTCGAGTGCCTTCCTCGTGATGAATATGGGGACCCCCCATGACAGCTTGTTCGCGGTGTACGAGGTCGCCGGGAGCACGCCGGTTCTCCTTGGGTACCAGTAAGACGGCACGGGCTCGCCGTCCTTGTCGAGGAGGCTGAGCCTGACCCGTGCCTTGACGTCCGTGCTGCGCCGCTCGAGCTTCAAGTAGACGGACACCCAGTCGGCGTTCGCCGGGGAGTCGCCGTTCGGGTAGTACTCGACGACCCAGCGGTGGCCGGCGACGGTGAACATGCCGGAGCTCACGCACTGGCCGGTGCCAAGGAGGTCCTTGGTTTGTGAGTACCCGTGGATCGTGAGCACGTGCGACCCGGTCACGGTCTCTGCGACAATGGCCGACGCGCTGAGCTCCGCACCGGCGGTAGGCGCGGCAGAGGTTGCCGTGGAGTCCGGAGACGACAGGCCGACCGCGGCGAGCAGGCGGCGGAACATGGTGAAGGAGGAGCAGCGACCAACGATCGAGGAACGTGATTTAATTACATGGAGATTGCAACGTTAAGTTGCGGTGTTGTCAGGCGTGGTGAGTGGCAACACGTTGTACGATTGAAATAGGACCAGAGAGTTCTGGTGTTTTAATCGGAGACGAGAAGAGAGAGACAAGGATACTGAATACGAAACACGAAGCGCAAAGGAAAAAGAAAAGGCAATCAAAATAAAAAAAGAGGGGCATTCCGAGAATTGAACTCGGGACCTCTCGCACCCTAAGCGAGAATCATACCACTAGACCAAATGCCCTTTATTCTTTCGAGTATTTTTTATAGTATTACAAAACTTCTGTTATCTGTATGCAAAAAATTGCAATATTAGAGCATAAGCACCGTAACAGCTTATAGTTGCATGCCAATACAAAGCTACAACCACACCCGTGACAGCATTGGCATCTAGTTACACTTCAGCTTGAACCTCACTCTGACCATAAACCCTCACATGCATGTACAGCAACCTCTGAAACCTTTGCGACACATCATATATGTGGTCCAAAACCTCATCTTCAGGCCACTCTGGATAATCCTAGGCTCTGAATTTCCATTGCCATGCACTGCAAAAAAGGATTTGGGTTGGGGATTCCGAGAATTGAACTCGGGACCTTTCGCTCCCTAAGCGAATATCTTACCACTAGACTAAATCCCCTGATATGTTCTAAGCATATCTGTAGAGTTTCAGAAAACAAAATTGAATTTATTACAGTCATCATTTTTATGTTTTATCTTTTGCTAGGGGTCAGCACACAAGAGGTAAATGTTAAATTCATGCAGAACCGGATGATAGTAGTTAGTAACTACCAAAAGAGCATTTGTATTGCGGAATTAGTTTGTGGGTATGCTTAAAGTCATGAGTTCTCTTCTTTGTCTAATTTAGTAAAGAAATAAGTCACGCTCAACTAAATCAAGCGTGGATAAATGTTTTGGGTCAATACAGAGGTAAATGCACAACTAAATTTTAGTAAAGAAATAAGTCACGCTCAACCAAATTTTATAACTTGATATTTGATAGAAGAAAGTAATGCACAACTGCAACATGTATATCTTTTGGTATGCAGAACCTTGGGTACTAACCAGACATATGATTTGTTCATCCAACAGATAACTCTCTGCCCGCAAGATATTTTTATTTGATCTGTTACATTTCAGTCCTAATACGGAGGTAAATATATGGATCCATGATTTTCTTTTCTTCAATTATCTGAGAATGGTAAAAGAGTATTTTGTTAATTATATGGATATATATTTGCATAACAAATGTATTTAAAAATCAATAATACAAAGCAAGGGGATGTAGCTCAATTGGTAGAGCACTAATGAAAAGCTTCTTAGGTGTTCGGGGTTCAACTCCTCGCATCTCCAATATTTTATTTTTTTCCCGCGGTGTACAGTTGGCGAACGCCCCACAATTTTTCTCAAGCTTTGCCAATGTTCCTATGTCCTTTTGTCTCGCAGTCAGTCAGAGACTGACCTTTGCCAGAAGCTCGTAAAGAACAGACGGGCAACTGCTCGTCAGATGGCCAAATCCATCAGTCGCCATGGCTGCCTTCAAGTTACTACGAGACATGAGAAACCGGAAGCATGCTTTCTTGAGACCATGACATCCATGCTGCTCAGCCAATGCCAAAGTATTCCCTACTGTTGTTGCGTTGATGTAGCCGCGGAGTTTCTCCTCGCAGATCACCTTCATCCTCTCCATGCTATACCTATCTGCTGCGACAAGTAAATGTTGAGCCATGACCATGATATCATCATCGTCGATCTCCGGTAGCGAGTCGGTGTAGATGAAGTGGAGCAATGCCTTGAACACTCTTGCTTCCATGTCATCGACGTAAATGCAAGCTGCATCCTTCTCCTCCATGGACCCAAAGAGCTCAGCCATGAACACCGGCGACCGAGCGGCGAGTATGTACCTATGCGCTGGGAAAGTCTCCCCGGCAACCTCGAATGTGACATCTGTTAGAATCTGTACAACATCTAGGTGTGGATCAAGCGGGTCCTAGTATCTATCTGGGCATAAGCATGGAGTTCGGATTAGGATCTAGGGGAAAAGGAAGAGGGGATGAGTACCTTCGTGTGTAGCTGGATCCGAGGGAGTCGCCATGGCGACGACGGGCGGCGGTGGTGCAGGCGTACTTGACGTCGCGGCTTGTGCTCGGCGTCGGGTGATGTCCCTGTGTCCCTCGGGCCGGTAGCGGCACTGGCCCGGGACGGCGGCATCGTACGGTGATGACGTGGTGACGGCGGTGGAACTTCCCGTTGCCTCAGCGCCCCCTCGGGATCGGTTAGGGTTTGTTGGTGGGGAACAGTGCTCACGGTGAACCTCGTACTGTGAGCCGCCGGCCCCCACCTCTATTTATGTGGCGCTGGCAACAGGGGCCCACCAACCATGGGTTGGGTTGGGCGCCCCCGATCAGGGCGCGATCAAGGGTCCACAGGCCTTTGGGCCTGGGAGGGCAGAGATCAATCTAACAATCTCCCCCTTGATCTCATCTTTTGTCTTTTCCTTTTCTTTTTCCTTTTACTCGTCTCGTCATAGATTAATGCATAGAGCATGTCTTATCGTCAGGGTCCTATCTCGCCGATAGAATCAACAGCTACAATACACGCCTCCATTCAGAAACAGTTCTTTATTTCCTTTTGGGCCTCTTTAGTCCAGAGATCATAGGCTATCCCTTAACCCCATGCCGGCTACGTGCTCCTTGAACACGCTGGGTGGTAAGCCTTTCGTTAGCGGATCCGCGAGCATCTTCTCTGTACGTATGTGCTCGAGACTTATGGTTTGATCTCGGACTCTATCTTTCACAACATAGAACTTTATGTCAATGTGTTTGGTAGCATCACTTGACCTATTGTTGTGAGCATACTTTACTGCAGGCTCATTGTCGCAGTACATCTTTAGTGGTCTAGAGATGTCGTCAACCACTCTCAAACCGGGTATAAACTTCTTTAGCCAGTTCACCTGCCCTTCGGCCTCAAAACATGCAACAAACTCGGCATACATTGTGGACGCTGCAGTGACGGTTTGTTTGCGACTTTTCCATGATATGGCTCCTCCCGCGAGAGTGAACACGTATCCTGATGTCGATTTTCTGTTATCTCCTGCAAAATCAGCATCTGTATATGCTATGATTTGCAGAGAATCTGTTCTTCTGTATGTCAACATGAGGCCTTTTGTTCCTTGCAAATAGCGCAGAACTTTCTTTATCAATTTCCAATGTTCTAGTCCTGGATTACTCTAGAATCTACCAAGCAACCCAGTAACAAAAGCAATGTCAGGGCGTGTGCACATTTGTGCATACTGTAAGCTTCCGACAGCTGAAGCATATGGTACCGTTTTCATTTGATCTTTTTCATATTGATTCTTTGGACATTGAAAGTCCCCATATCTATCGCCCTTGACTATAGGAGCAGGTGAGGCACTGCATTTGTGCATATTGTATTTCTTCAGGACCTTTTTTATGTATGTCTTTTGTGATAGTCCTAATACCCCTTTTGATCTGTCTTGGTGAATTTCAATTCCTAAGACGAATTTCGCTTCACCAAGATCTTTCATTTCGAATTGTGAGGACAAAAATTTCTTTGTTTCTAGTAGTAGACTGACGTCACTGCTTGCAAGCAGGATATCATCCACATACAGGGTTAGGAAGATATACTTTCCATTCTTGAACTTTGCATATACGCAATCGTCCTCCACATTCTGTTCAAACCCGAATCCTTTAATTGTACTGTCAAACTTCAAAAACCACATTCTTGAAGCTTGCTTTAACCCATAAATCGATTTCTTTAGGCGGCATCACATCTTTTCTTTTCCTTCCACGACAAAACCTTTCGGTTGTGCCATGTAAAACTCTTTATCTACATCCCTATTTAGGAACGCCGTCTTTACATCCATTTGATGCAATTCTAGATCAAAATGAGCCACAAGGGCCATAATAACCCTGAAGGAATCTTTACATGAGACTGGAGAAAATGTCTCATGGTAATCAATTCCCTCCCTTTGCGTATATCCTTTTGCCACAAGTCGCGCTTTAAACTTCTCTATATTCCCTTGAGAGTCATATTTAGTTTTATAGACCCATTTACAGCCTACTGGCTTGACTCCTTCAGGAATTTCCACTAAGTCCCAAACATCGTTGGTACTCATCGATCTCATTTCATCTTCCATGGCTGCCAGCCACTTAGATGAATGCTCACTTCTCATGGCTTCTTCAAATGAGATAGGGTCATCCTCCATTTGACATTCTTCAGTGTTGTACACTTCATAATCATCGGGAATAGCCGACCTTCTTTCTCTTTGAGACCCTTTAGGGGCCTCTACATTTGGAACAATCTCTATTGGAGGCTGCTGTGGCTCCTCTTGATCTGCGGCAATGGGCTCTATAGGATCCTGAGGGACAGGTTCCACATTTTCATTCATGGTTGCCACAGGAGGAACAACCACAGGGGCTGGCATCACAGGGTCTTGCACTCGCGGTGCAGCCACAACGGGCAGTGAGAAGAAAGGCTCTTGAATCATAGGGTTGGGTGCATGCACCCGCTTCTCCTCAAGATCAATCTCTCGAACTACCACGCTCCCCCGAATCATTTCTTCCTCAAGGAAGGCAGCGTGTCTAGTTTCTACAAACTTTGTATGTCTATCTCGACAGTAGAAACGGTATCCCTTTGATTTCTCTGTATAGCCAATAAAATGTCAACTCACTGTTTTTGGATCTAATTTCCTAATGTTCGGGTTAAATATCTTGGCCTCAGCAGGACTCCCCCACACCCTTAGGTGATTCAATGAGGGTACTCTTCCTGTCCACAACTCATACGGTGTTTTCGGCACTGCTTTAGATGGTACTCTGTTAAGAATATAGATAGCGGTTTTTAATGCCTCCATCCATAAACTCACTGGTAAAGTGGAGAAACTTATCATACTCCGTACCATATCCATTAAGGTGCGATTGCGCCTTTCTGCCACTCCATTCTGCTGAGGGTCGCCCGGCATTGAATACTGGGCTACTATGCCTTGTTCCTGTAGGAACCTAGCAAAAGGTCCTGGAACTTGGCCATATGGGGTATGCCGATCATAGTATTCCCCTCCACGGTCGGATCTGACTACTTTTATCTTTAAATTGTGCTGATTTTCAACTTCAGCCTTGAATATCTTGAATTTTTCTAATGCTTCTGATTTTTCTTTAATTGGATAGATGTATCCATAACGGGAATAATCATCTGTGAATGTTATGAACGAATCATATCCATCTATGCTTCTAACTGAGAAAGGACCGCAGATGTCTGTGTGAATTAGCTCTAAAACACCTGCGCTATGCTCAGCATTTTTCTTTGTTATCTTTACATATTTTCCTTTAATGCAATCGATGCATTGCTCTAAGTCTGAAAACTCTAAGGCGGGAAGAATATCATTTCTAATTAGTCATTCTATTCTCCCCCTCGAAATGTGGCCCAAGCGACAATGCCACAATTTTGACGATTCATTATCTTTTCTCTTTCGCTTTCTATTTTTATCTGTAGACGAGGATACAATTGCATTCACATCACATACGGAATTCACACTTTCACGCAGCGATAATAAATAAAGATCATTTCTCTTAAAAGCAATAAAAGGAACTGTATCATTAATCCTTATTACACATCTGCCATTACCAAAATGACAATCAAATCCATAATCATCTAGACGAGACACACTAATTAAGTTTCTCTGTAATGTCGGTACATAAAAGACATCTCTAAGTAAAAGCTCAAAGCCGGTGTCTAGCTCTAAGAGAAGATCTCCAACAGCTTCGACATCTGCCTCGACTCTGTTGGCAACTTTAATTTGCCTTTCGCTTCTTTGAGTGGTTCTCGTCGAACGGAATCCCTGTAAAGAATTTGCAACATGAATAGTTGCTCCTGAATCAATCCACCAAGTAGATTTCGAATAATCTATATACAAGGATTCATTTACAAATGAAATAATGTTCTCGCCTCTCTTTTCCATGATCATCTTTAAGTACTTGGGACAATCTTTCTTGTAGTGTCCCTTACCCAAGCAGTGCATACACTGGTCTTTTCCCACAGTAAATTGTCCATCTTTGGGTCTGTGCTGCTGAGAGGACTGTCCCTGGAAATGCTGAGGACCTCTTGCCTGAAACTGCTGAGGACCTTTTCCCTTAGAGGAGGAGGAGGAAGGATTCATATTCTTGTTCTTCACATAGTTGATGGAATTCGGAGGCAGTCTTTCCTCTTCTTGCACACACATTGCAATGGCCTTCTCTATGTCCCATTTCTCTAGGGACATGTTGTACCCAACAATGAAGGTGTCAGAAGTCTTTGGCAATGAAGCAAAAACCAAATGGACAATGTGATCATCCTTGAAA